CTATATCCTGGGCGACTGGGTATTATCTATCTATCATCAACACTTACACAATAATTATGGATCATAAGGTGGTGGTACATAAGTAACCTGTGTCGTGTAACGGACTTCAAGCAATAAAAACAACAACAACAATATTAGGAAAGGCTAAATGATCTCAGTAACCACATTATTCATGCTTACTATTTCTAAACAACAATTCCGTTCAGTGAAATATTCTAATATTTTTTCAGTGTTAGCTTGTGAGGATTTGATTGGATTCAGGTTTTTTTTGATTATGGATTAATATCAGTTAGAAAATTATTGAAAATCATAAGGAAGTACTGAATATCTATTTTGCCCCTAGTTTAGGACTGTTCAGCAGCACGTACACATGAACCTTCAGCCTGTATGACATTTCAGTCATTGAGACGGAATCTATTGGTCAGTCCATGAATTTTAAGTTTAGTCATTTGGCGATTTTACTTTAGCACTATGGCCAGTGTATCTCATCGGTGAGTAATGGGTTATCACATCCAACGTGATGCAGCATACTGCACACGAGTGCTGTCACTCTAACTCGAAACCACATTGTCCTGTAATCGTGAGAATTAATGATACTACGGAGCTGTGGGAAATTCCAGTAAGTAAAGTAGAATTTGAACGTATGTCCGTGGTAGAGTTGACAGTGTTAACTGCCTAATCCAGTGAGCTGCAGTTCCGTTGTTGTATATGTGGTTGCTGAAGAGTCCCAAACTGGGACGAAATAGCTGTCAAATATTCTTTTGTTTCGTGAAGAAATCTAACAGTTGAAATCCATCCATATCCCCACAAATCTCATAATGTAAATAATAATCTCTAGCTGACTGTTGACTGGTGGATAAATGGATGTATTGAAGCAGTACTGAGAAGTCGTGACCAGTTGAGGTCTACTATGTCAAGGTTAATTTTGTTAGAGGTATAGCTTTGTGTCGCGAATTGACAGAAATTAAGAATCACTGAATCGTCAACCAGATTGACCTCGTAACCTGATGGTGTCAGGTTCGATCTCTAGCGGTAGGGCCGCCGGTATGCACTGTGCTGTGTAGGGGAGTCCCGAAAGAGAATGAAGCAGCTAACTAGCTACACAATATACTCCCTTGGTTTTCATTGACCTCTCTCTGACTTATGTTGGTTCTTGACGGAATCTACGCTGAAATAATTGTTCCCCTTTTCTCTCCCTGTTTTGTTTCTCTAAATTCGCTGGCTGTTCCTGATATTTTATATGATAGTCGTATGTGGCATTTAGTTATCCTGATTCGGTACTACATATATAATAATAATAGCTATTTGTTTGTGTAACCTTGACTAGACATTATCGATTAACAGCAGTTAGTGTGTGTGTGTGTGTTTGTCCACCATTATTACTATTATTGTTTCGCATCTTTTTTCCTATTGGTTGGAGGATATTTCTTTCACCGTCTCTAGTACACAGACATTAAAAATACGTGTAACACTGGGACTCTGTGACGACTGGTGTTGGTGAAGGGGAACAGGGTAGTATTAATATTGTTGGTAATGATAATAGTAATAGTACTGGAATTAATGTTAGATTTTTAAGTCCTGAAATGGTACCGGATAGAGGATAATTCGCTGTTTTCTTTCCACGTGGCTGTCTGTCTATCTATCTATCTACCTATCTGTAGGATAGAGGTTGGAAAAATTGTTTTTGGTTGGTGGGTAGGTAGGTAGGTTGGTGGGTGGGTGGTTGGTGTTTGTTTGACGATGACTACGATAATGACGTTGATGTTAGAGACAACGATAGTACTATAAGATTATTTGAATAAGGCATTTAGAAGACAAATTTCGCGAGATGATATCATCATTTCGTAGTTTCTTTACAACCGCTTTACAACTAACATGGTTAAGAATAATAAAATAGAAGAAACCGCATGACAATTACTCAGTAATATAAAAAACAAAAGTACATAACTAGTGACCAATCATCACATTTAAATAGGTTGAAGTCTATTGTTTTTTGGACGCACAGTTTAGACTGTATGTGATTAATCCCCCAATGTGTTTCCATCACCTTCAATAACCAACCTTGAATTAGAGTTATGTGATGAAATAATTGTGAAACAGTCTTATTCTCATCTTCCAAACACTTTCTATCCCTGTACCTACGATTAAAAGACGAAATTCTGTGGACTGTGCTCCCCTCAAACTGTATCTACAAGTTCACCTGCAGCTGCGGTGACATATATATATATATATATATATATATATATATATATAGGTAGAACCAACAGAATGTTCCAATGTCGCGGTCGAAAAGAACATGTTCCGAAATGGTTACTAAATCATATAGAAAATTCCAATCCGATTAATCTGAATAGAAATCGAGCATCATCATCCATTGCAATACACTTATTAATGTCAGGTCACAAAATCAATATCAAATAATGACTGTTTCACAATTATTTAATCACATAATTCTAATTCAAGGTCGGTTATTGAAGGTGGTGGAAGCACTTTTGGGATTGATCACATATAGCCTAAACTGTGTGAACAAAAAAAAAACAATGGACTTCAAACTTCGCCTACCATGAACTGACTGACTACTTAACCTATTTAAATGTGATGATTGGTCATTAGTATGTGCTTTTGTTTTGTTTTATATAACTGAGTAATTGTCATGCGGTTTCTTCTATTTTATTATTGTATACCACGGTAGTTGTAAAGCGATTGTCAAGAAACTACGAAATGACGATATCATCTCGCGGAATTTGTCTTCTTAATGCCTTTTTCAAATTTTCAAGTATTGGTTTTGTAGGGATTTTGTTTGATTGCATGGAGGATTTCATCATGAGCTGACATCAGTTAGAGAACCACTGGAAAACCTGGGGTTACTGGACAGCTGTTTCGTCAGCCTAGTTTGGGACTCTTCATCAGTACGCATCCACCAGGATTCGAATCCAGGACCTTCTGGTTACAAGGCAAGCGAGCTCGTAGACCATTGAGCCACTGGGACCCGATCTAATGGTCCTTGAATTGTAACTTCTGCCAGTTCACGACATAGCGCGACCACTTCGCAATGTCTTCTTCGATGAGTTACTGCCTCATCTTCGACCTGCTGTACCCTACTGGTCACGGCTTCCCACTAGAACCCCAGGTTAACTGCCTGAATAGGGCCAGTCACTAGTGAGCATCAGATGAATTTTCAAGTATTGGTTTTGTAGGGATTTGGTTTGATTGTATAGAGGATTTAATCATGAGCTGACATCAGTTAGAGAACCACTGGAAAACCTGGGAGTACTGGACAGCTGTTTCGTCCTAGTTTGGGACTCTTCAGCAGTACGCACCCACCGGAATTCGAACCCAGTACCTTCAGGTTCAAATTTATCAAAGGGACTAATTGTTTTAATATAAGATTATTATTATTATTTTTGAAGTAACTGAATTTTATTTTCGTGTATGTATGTATCTGCGTGTGTGTGCACTTTTTTTAAGTGATCCATCCAGTTGTGGTCATTTTCTGTTTATATTGATATCTTTTGTTGATTGTAATCTATTGTGTGTGTGTGAAAACCATCCGAAGTGTGCGTGTTGTTTTCACGGTTAGCCGTGTAGTGCAGGGTCAGTACTTCATATATATATATACATACGAAGCGTTGATTTGCCGGGATCTGATTGATTACAACACTGATCATGAACTGAGTTTGTTTAGAGGACCATTGAAAACCATCAGAAGGTACTGAACAGCTGTTTTGTCCTTGTTTGGGACTTATGAGCACAGTACGCACTCATGACTCCGCTCATCAGGGATCGAACCTACAACCTTCGGGTTAAGCGGGCTTGCTTGCAGTGACAATCCAGCCGCAGAAGTGGTTTACAATGCCTATCCGTCGCACTTGGCGCCACTGTAGACTATATATACATATATATATATATATATATATATGATGAAGATTTGTGGCTCAGGTGGATGATTTTCATGTAGTTGTGTTCTCTGAGCTGACTGGGTGGTTTGTTGGCGAAGCTTTCATTGTCCTATTTACTAGGCAATATCTTCCTTTAGCGCATACTTCAATTTGAATTGAAGTGAGCTTTTGGGTTTCTCCACGAGTTTATTAGTCATTTCTTCTGGTCTTTCGTCATAGTTCAAGTCAAGGAAACACTCAACTCTAATACCAATACAAGGAGCCTAGAGGGTGTGGAAACACACAGAAACAACCAATCACTTTCAAGGTCACCAGCCAGGAGAGATGACTGATGAACTCGTGGAGAAATCTAAAAGCTCACTTCTGTTCAAATTTAAATATGCGCTGAAGACGTTGCCTAGTAGAGCGATGAAAGCTTCGCAGATTAACTATCCAGCCCAAAGAACACAACCACATCAAATTGGGTGCTTTCGTGGTTCAGTCATAAAATGCTTGCCAGGCATACATTTGGTAAGGATATGATTCTTCACTGACGCAGCCCTAGGACCTTACCTAGGATACCTTCCTATAGGAAGTCCGGAAAGGTGAAAACATTGGGTTCAAAGCTAGCAACCCAACCCTTTGAAAACAATATCATTTCTATTAAGACATTGAAAAAGTTGCAGTTCCTGTGATATCTTTATTTGCATCGCTTTCACTTAGTCGGTAATGAAAAATTGTCATGTTATCAGATTGATGGTGACTAGCAATGATATCCAGTATGGACAAAATTCATCTTATTAAGGGGGGTTCATCAGCTGGGCACACTTCCTCTCTCATTGCGTGTGTGTGCGATGGTGTCCTCACTGTGACTCGAACCCATTAGCTCCTATCGTTTTAACAACGGAACAATATCTAGGAGAAATTCAACGGTTATATGCTGCATGGTATTACCGCCCTCTCTCTTTCTCTGAGGTTCCACATACTCGAATAACATTGAGGATTTTATACATATATTGTCTTTCTAAATATATCAGTGGCAGTCAACCAACGCAAATAGTCATGCCATGCAAATAAACATCCTATTTAATTAATTAATTAATTTTTTATTGTCTTTTTAAGTCTTCCACTGGTACTGGCCGTCATGTTAATTTCTCAGGTGATCTAGATGTAGTGAGTTCTACTGGCAATGAAGAGAATTCACTGGGTCGACGTCAAACATTCAGTTCACGTGTACGATCTTCAGAACATAGTAAGTTGTACACAACTGTTATGCATTATTAGTATTATCACTATTATTTAATATTCCCATCTAGAGCGTTCTCTTTCAGAGTGCTTGAGAGTGATGAATGGTTTTATCTCGAGTATTCTGGAGTTGATTGTTCACAGATTTTGGTGTTTCACGGAAGGTATTTCCAACAGGCGCTACTGTAGATTTTCATCGGCAACTGTCTTCGCTTAACACTATCTGCCTGTTTTCGACATAGAACTTTGCACCGCACCGATGTGCAACAGTTCAAGTCGCCACTCTCCCTCGATGTAGCACACAAATCAAGAGAAGAAATTAGAAGAAATGCAAAATAGAGACAGTAGACAGGGATATGAGACAAAAAAGGAATAGTAATAACGAAGAAGAATATAATTTCATTTGAAATTATAAGTCACAAGGAGTGGATGCATCTCCACCAGCCAGCCATTGAGAACGATGAGTTTGAGCCATATCACCAATTGCCTCCAGCCATTGGTTTTTACCTTTCCGAGGATCCCAACTAATCAGGAAGTCGTCTACACCTCCCTATGTGTCTCGCTTAAACTAACTGTTGTGGATTTGATTGTCTGATGAAGTCATGTTTTGGTTTGACCACCACCATCAACATCGCTTGTTTGGATAGTAAAGGTAAGCAACAGTGAACTAACCAAGAACCTATTGCATAAAGAATATGCCGAAAATAGTGGAAATAAATTCTACATATCCTGTGGAGATCATTGTGTGACAAACATCACATGCAAAGACAAACTCTCGAGCATGAAATGACGAGTTGATCGTCTCTGTGAGAGTCACTCTCTCTCTCTCGCTTTTGAATCTCTATTTACCCTCTCCTCTTCCTTTGTGTGGTACATGGAAGTAGTTTGGTATCTGGAACTGCTGCACAACTGTGCAAAGTTCCGTGTTGAAACCAGCCCGTCAGCATGTCAAGTAAGACTTTTGTCTCATTGAGTCTCTGTATAACCTGACTAATTCTGGATTACATAATACTACCCTAGAATAGAAATGAAATAAGGCGCCCATAGTCCTTATATACTCTGATCATTACTTTGTAATGGACAGAAGATGATATAACAATTATTTGAGAGGTATTCAGAGGTATTTTAGTATTATTTAAAAACAAAACTGAATAGTATGTAAATGTAAAAATGTAAAATATAAGTTGGTAAATTAAACAAAAAAAATAAATAAATCAGTTCAATACACAAATGTGTGTATGAATTTCAGTCTGATTATCTCAAAATCAATCGATTTTGGCTCTTTCTCTCTCTCTCTCTCGCGCGCTCTGTGTATATTTGTTTTCTTTCTTTCTGTTGTCCTGAAAGGTACTATGATTGGTCTTTGAGTGTGTGTAGGCGCACTAGTGTGTGTGTGTGTACAGTTTAAAGTTATTTAGATCCACGTGACTCCGGTATTTCGGTTACTCGATCACACAGTCTTTGCGTGGGTGTGTGTGAATTTTGTGTGTTTGGCGTTTTTTTTAAAAAAATTTGTTACGTAATTTAACATAGTTATTTTTTATTCATACAATTTATTTTTAAGATATTAAAACACATCTATCTATCATTTGATTCTGATTGGTTAAAATTTGACCTTCTAGTCTCGATCAACCATTGGTCAGTGATAGAAAGGTTCAAGTAACATAGATAAAGCGATAAGAAGACGTAATTTGTCTGTCTGAATCGTATGTGTAATGTGTTCGCGCGCGAAACACATTTCGAACAATCTGGTCACACTCCACGAACCTGTCATAAGAATATATATGAAGTTAATAAAGAGTTAAGAGGTGAGAAAATAGACTATTTAGGTCAAGTTAAAAGGACATATCACTAAACGAAATAAGAGAGGTAATAATACATCTGCTATGGTATCAAAACAAAATTTACCAAGGAAGGTTTAATGTGATGATGAATTGTTACTTTGAACACATTAAGTTGGTTTAAACTTCCCGATTGTTAGCTAGGGCTTCCACAAACTTTAGGATACTCCCTCCCCAAACAGGTTTTATAGATAGGTTTAAAAGAAGTGTAAACATTTTTATGTCCTGTCTCTATAATGTTTCGCAATAGAGAAGCTAGGTCTCCTGTTCTCACCATTAATTGGTTCTGAAGATTCCATTTGTTTGTGGAGCCATTTAGGAATATTCTCTGAAGCCAGCCCTTACTTACAGAGATCGATGAGTCCTCCTTACGTATATGTGTCCACACGTACATTCAAATTGGTAAATACAATGGGATGTGACATCATTTTTCGCATGTTCGAAGGGCTTAGATGGATGGATATTTTGGTTTCACATTCTCAATTATTATTGTGATATTAGCTGCATAAAACATCTTTTTTAACAGCAGCGTTCAGTCTTTGTCTTGTTTTCAGGCTGCTATGATACCCCATATGGGATAGCTTGATGTACACGTCTTTCCTTGGGGGGGGGGCTTGGAAATGGGCCTTGGTGTTGGTGAACTAACTTGGTCTCTGTGATAATATATAGCAGAAGTCAGAATTCATTGGCCAGAAAGTCCTGGGTTCGAACCACGGGGGGTGCGTGCCCCCTAAGAGTCTCAAACTAGGACGAAACAGCTGTCCAGTACCCCCTGACTGATTTTCCAGCAGTTCTCTGACCAATGTTAGCTCATGATGAAATCTTGTAACCATGCATATTTAGTTTGATTCCAACTGATAGTTTGAATGAACCTGAAAATTTTGTGATAGGCAGGTGAATATTATTTTCTTTCATGGAGCGATTGAGAAGTGGTCAAAAGAAAATAAAACTAAACAAATTTTTGGTGGTCGAGGAAAAAACGTCAGCGCTTTCTGATGATGGAACTCTTTTTTATTTCGCTTGGTAGCATTTTTTCAACTCCAGATGGTATGGATGAGACTGTCAAATGCCAGCTAGCCAGCCAGTCAACTTTGGGAAAGTCAAATGTTACAGCAGTCAGTCAGTCGGTCAGTCAGTCAGTGCTCCTGTATGGTTCAAAGACTTGACTGACACGTCTCTGAAAGCATTATAGTGATGAATAGGCTCTTGGAGACTTTCCTCAACATCTGCCTTTTGATGACTGAATACTAAGTTGATCGACCAGCAATGAACCAGCCAATAAAATACTGCTCAAGAAATTTTTTAAGAGGGAATTAAGATAGATTGTGCACACACGGAGGAGACCAGACTGGGCGGTCGTCTGGTTGAGGTTGATATAGAGGAGGTCGTTGGAAAAGGGAATAAAAAGCTTCTAGGCAGTCGTGAAGCATGCATGGTGTTCAATGTGGTTGACCTGACTCTGTAAAATAGGATTATTGGTTTGAGGTTTCATCATACACCATCCAGTGATTCCTTTGTTTCTTTATGAGTGTCTAACTGATTGAGCTACGTCGTTATATAAGTAATGTCAGAAGTATCGCATTATTGAATTGACACTGAAAGCTTGATCTTTGAATTTCACAGTAACGGTGGTGTTTATTTTTTACGTGGTAGGGTTGCTGTCCACTTTGCCCAACCTTCCCTCTTCAATGGCTTTATTACTGACTTAGTGAGATTAAGCGGACTCCGTCGGTCGGGGATTGAACCCTGAAACACTTACGTGGTAGGCGAGCATTCTACCTCTAGGCTACCGACGTACTATGGTTGGAGGTGGAACTCATGCGCCCTTTGGGATTCGAACCCATGTCACCCAGTGCTTCAGACGGAGACGTTACCACTGAGTTAGGTATTCGCGCTCAGTAGGTGGAAACATGTGCTTTGTGCGTCGGTGGCTTGGCGGTGGAATGCTTGCCAACCACGCCTCACATGGTTCCGGGGCTCTGTCCTTGGCAGATGAACTCCTAGACCTTGCTAAACCAATAGTAAGCCCAGTAAAGAAGGAAGATTTGGCGTGAGGCTAGCAACCTCACCACTGCTACCGAAATTTCAAAGTTCTAGTTTAAAGCCCTATACTCTACTCGAAACGTTAAGGGCTAATAATAAATAGTTCGATAGGTAGTCAGGTGATTGTTGAAGCCACTTTTGAGGACAGGTCCTGGCAACAATTGATGGTTCGCCCTTCTTCTCCAATTCATGGTTCACGATGGTCATCTGAAATTGACATACCAATTATACTCACGACAGAAGTGATGTTATAAAGCACAACGCCTAAATTCAAAAGTTTCAATGAACAAGACTTGCTAGTCTTGTTTGGCAGTAACTATTGTTTGCTGGTTGTATGTGTGCTTTGGACTTCAGCACATAAAGTTGCCTCTCCGTTGTATCATTGCTAGTGTGTGCGGCTTCCTGTTGCATTAGAAATGCTGTAGTTGCGGGAGTGCGGAGCATGCTTCAACATCGCTGCTTTCTCAACCTCGGTTCAGACAACAACTTCGCATTAGTATGATTACCTCTCATAGCCCCCTGGTGGTAGCATATGACAAATCCGTGTCGGATAACTGAATTGAAAAGATGTCCACATAGTAAGAAGACACATCGACTGGCTTTCCGAAGACTTTCACCAGCTGGTTGTTTAATTTCACCTCTCTGATTCCAGCGAAAATTAAGTTTGTTTTCTATATACATATTTTTTTGTACTTTCAATATTTTTTCCTTGTGAGTTGAAGTTTCTTTAGTAGTTGGATTGGTTTCCTAGGGTAGAGTGTCTAGCCCTCACGCCTAGCCTAGGCTAGCCTGAATCCTCCCACTTTTCCCCGGGCTTAAGACCAGCTTAAAAAGACTAAACGAGGTTGAAAACAACTTGAGATATAGTCACTGATATTGAATCCTTTCTGTGTATCAAATTTTTGCTTGTTCGTTGGTTTGTTTGTTTGTTTCAATCTGCAGTCAAACAAAAGTGGCTATTCGGATAAATCGATACATGTGTGCTATGTTGTATGCTGTGTGTGTGTGTGTGTGAATACTTTTCGGTGTACTCTTTAAAAAGCCAACTATTTCAGGTCAAATATTCTTTTGGGTAATTATTTACACCGATGATAATCATTCATATATTATCGATTTTATCATTATTATTGTTGATATATGTGTGTGTGTTTGTGTGTAATTGATCGTGATTTGGCTTTTGCTTGTTTATATCCTTGAATGATCTGTGATCTGTATTCACCTTTGTGGATATTTTCATAATCTCTTTCAAATTAATCCTAATTATTCATAAGTAAAAACACAGTTTTTGTTCAGCGAAGAAATTTCTTTTCAACGACTTCATTTTCAAGCTGTACAGTCGTATTTATATTACAGAAAAAGGTGGCTATTAAGTGGCACTAAATAATTGCTCAGTCAATGTACGTGTATATGTGATAAAAGTTATAAGGGGTAGAGTTGAAGTGGATAAATTACAAAAATATTACAGATTGTTCTATAACAAAAATGTCAAGTGTTGTCTAAAAATTTTGAAAATTAGGAGTACGATTACGATAATAATGAAGATGTGAAGTGAAGTGGAAAGAATTCAAGTGGTAAAATAAAATAAAATAAAAACTAGAAAGAACATTATTATGACCAAGGTAAAGAAAGGGGTTTTACAAAACGCTTTTGAACACATAATTTAAGTTTCTGTTCATGTATAGCTAAAGCTTCGGTTAGCTATACATAAGTGAAGAAAACGTAAACTTTTGGATCGATTCGATTTTACCATGTAGATAACTTTGGAAGATGAATCACGTGGGGCTAAATGACCAGACCCTATCTAACAGGTGATCACAAATAGACGACTTTGCAGTTCTACGTTCGCCTTTCATTAAACAAACCGGCTAGTGTTCAGCTACACGTTTTCGGAGATTATCACCTTTTTTGGTCATTGGTACAAAAATTATGAATATGAGTCCAACTGTGAGTGTGTGTGTATGTGTATGAATAACAATTAGTATCAAATATTCGTTCAGATATGATAAAGAAGATTTGTAGCTCAGGTGGATGATTTTGATGTGGTTGATTAATTTGCGAAGCTTTCATTGCCCTACTAGTCAACATCTTCAGCGCATATTTCAATTTGAATTGAAGTGAGCTTTTAGATTTCTCTCCACGAGTTCACTATTAGTCATCTCTCCTAGTGACCACCTTGAACGTGATTGGTTGTTTCTGTGTGTGTTTTCACACCTTCTAAGGTGATATGGTGAGGCGATATACCATGCATACACTACAAGACTCTTCAAACCTTTAGGAATTGACGTCGTACACCCAGTTCTATGTCAACAAAAAAGACTGAACGACGAAAGAAGATAAAATCAACATCATCTATAAAATATAAATTGTAACAACTGCGAAAAACACTACATTGGCCAAAGTGGACGTCTTCTCCGTCTTCGTATCCATAAACATAAACTAGCCGTCAACAGATATGACATCCACTCCTTAATTCATATCGCCACAATGCATACAGACAACCACGGACATCAATTCGACTGGAACAACCAACGTTCAAATATTAGACAGAGGAAACACCAAGAATGCTAGAGTTTTTTTCCTAAAAGCCTGTGAATTGTCAATCAGTAGACACATCGACATAGACGAAATTTACCAACCGATAAGAAAGAAATCTTATATACAAAAGGCTCCAACTTCAGGTGAAGGGAACAGTCAGTTCCAATACAAGTAACCTAGACGGTGTGATAACACAATAACAATCAATCACGTCCAGGGTTACCACCAGAAGAGACGACTAATAGTGAACTCGTGGGGATATTTAAAAGCTCACTTCAATTCAAATTGAAGTAGTATGCGCTGAAGGAAGATGTTGCCTAGTAGTAAGTGGGGCAATGAAAGCTTGGCAAATTTAACTATCCAGCTAGCTCTGAGAACACAACCACATGAAAATATTCGTTTTTTTCGGTGCACACCCCCACCACCATCATTCAGTGTTTTTGCTTTCCGTTGACACTTACTTACTTTACTTTACTTCGGCTATCTCCTACGGGAGGATGAGCCGGCTTCATGAACGTCTCGAATCATCGCTGCCCAGGCGCGGCAATTTGTAAGAGAGTTCATGAAGTTTCATGGGAATTTGGTACGAGTGATGTCCCCAGCATCGCTCGGTGACACCACTAGCAACCAATCAGCAAACGACCTTGAACGGACCAATCACATTAAATAGGCATATATGATGAATGAAAACGCATATTTATAGAAAAAAGCATAAAGAAGGATAAAACGGTTACAAGGAGTATCTTTCACGAATATGTGAGAGAAACATCCCCCAGTTTAGCATGTGACTGTCAGTGGCGAAGTCACATCACATCCTGTACTTATATTCATCTAAACGGCTGTAAATGAGATCCTTTTCAGATCCATTTATAGCCCTTATCTTGTTTTTCAAGTGGCCCCGAAAACCTTCAATGAAATTCGTATGAGTCCTCGTAACGGGATCCACATAGCAAACAAGTGATTGTCTCTATTTCACACGAAGCAATATCTCTGTAATGCTGGTACCACTAAACTGTTGAGGCATGACTATTCTCAGTCTCGGCAGCTACTGCTCTCACTGGCTGTTTCAACACCCAGTAATTGCGGATATGCAAAATCTGGGTTAGGGAGAGATGTGACCTAGGGGAAAAATTTCCCACGAAATATTAAAATTATCAGCTTACCCTCTCTAATATTAGCATGCTTCAAACATATAGCACAACGATGAACAAACCCACCAGTTGATCTGCTATAGCTTTTTAAAATCATGATACCAACACAAGAACAAGTTCGCTCCTTCCGCAGCAAATTAAATCCAGGCAATACTGGAAAACACTAACCTCCTCAAATTGCAGCCGTAACCTTGTAAGGTCACGCATTAGAAATGAATCAAGCGCTCTATAACATTGAACTACGTTCGTGAATCTCATTGGATAATTCACTGATTGGTAGTTAGTGGTGTCGAAAGTTTAACTTCGCCGTCTACTTATATTTCAGCCTGGGCAGCTGAGTAGTGTAACGTATATATATACCCTTAGTTTGAAAGTTTCTCATGTTTTGATACATTTAGAGGCTATTCCGGATTTGTGATTTTTAACAAACTCTAACTCATTACACATATATACCTAGTTTTCATTCACGGTTTTACTGTTTTATATAAATGTTCAGTGATTTTTAAGAAATTTCTTAACGTTCCCAGTAGAACAATAGGACTTCTGGATAGAGGCCTAAAGTTTTGGTAGAAGTAGTGTTAAGTTTTACGGGATGGGGGGGGGTTGGTCGCTAGCCAGCCTCATTGCCCAGCCTTGCCTCTTTACCAATCTTATTGTTAGCTTAGAAAGGCAAAAGGAGTGCGAGTAGGCGACTGGGGATCAAACCCTGGGTCACATGCACCGTGGTTGGCGTGGTATTTAACTTCTGTTCCACTGGTTCACAAACGTTCAAGCGTATGAAAGGACAAAGTGATGACTGTTCAAGTGGTTGACAACTCCTTTTTTTTTAAATCTGTGAATCAAGGTCAAGGTGTGGGACAATTAATATTCTTATCATGTTGTTCTTTTTCTCGCTTGGTAGTACAAAGGATGATGATACATTTCTTCACATCTTTCTCAAGTCTTTCTTCGGTGTACATCATCTCCACTGACCTCAGCACGGCTAACTAGTTAGTAGCACCAACACCTTAGGACAAAAAGCTCAAATCATATTCTGGAGCATAGAACGTTAGTATTCAATTCATCTATATTCCCCTCTGTTTTCTACAGTCTTTTGAAGCTGGGGCTCTCCACGATTGTCTATAAGCTCTCATTTCTTCCTCACACAATCTTCTCCATGTCACTGTCAGACTGACACGGTCAACTCATCATTTTTCTATGCGGCTTTCATTTGTGAATCTGGCGTGTATGAATCAATACTTCTAGTCTTAATTAACTAACATCGTTTCCATTGATGGGGGGGGGTATATAGAGACTAGAGAAATACAGGTGTTTCTGACGCTTGTATGGTATTTTTATTCTTAATTTTACACTTTTCGTATATTTCTTAATTAGGACTTTCAGGAATATACTTGTAAATGTTTTTTTAACCCTTATGTATTATTATGTAGTATGTGTTCACTGAGACACCTACATTAAATGTGTTGGCGTATGTGAATTCGCCTCCAGCATAATGAATCTACTTTTGCACCGCTTCATGTTGGTTTAAATCTTCAAATTATTCCTTTGGATGGGACATGAACTGCCAGAAATTTTACAAAATGACTTCCAGCCTAATGTTGTACATGCTACTAAGAAGAAAATAAAGGAGAAATGGTTAAGTCTTGTTTTGGCTAGAATGACTCTGTGCCATACGATATACGCTCTCGATGAATATATATATATATATATATATATTCAACTTGAAGACACTATACGGACACTATATATATATATATATATATATATATATATATATATATACTTTTTAAGAAATTGCGTTCGAACTTTCGTGGGGTCATGGGCGTGTTTACTGTGGTGAAAATGCTAAGCTAGGACAAAACAGGTAGCCAGTGTGCTGCTCCCGGGTTTTCAATTATTTCTGTATAAATGATGTTTGATCGTGACGAATTCTACATGTGAATTAATCCTTACAAAAATCCACAATCTAAATATCAATCTCATTGATGGCTCTTTGGTTGATGTCCTGAAACTGTACTAGGAAGCCGGAACAATATCAGGGTGAATTGGATGTTCATCGGAGATATTGGATGGAGAGACAGGAGCACTATTGCGAGTTGACAAAAGTTAGAATTTACGGATCATCCAGTCCCGGTCTGATTAGCTCAATTTGCTAACGAAATTGTCTCGTAACCTGAAGAGTCTCAAGCTAGGACGAAACAGCTATCCTATACTGACTGAGAAAACCATAATGTAACTATTATTATCATCATCATTAGGTCAGCGTAAATTCTTTTTTTTTATTGTATTGTAAGCGTGTTTTTTTTCTCTTCTAAAAATCATTTCTTCTCCTCTTCAAAGGTCCTACATCAGATTATCAAGGCTCATCAGGTGGATATCGTGAACGTCGTAATATTCGTGAACGTGGTGGTGGTGGTGCTACAGCCCCTGAAAGAATTCTATCAAGTAAATCATTTTCAAATGCCTCAGATATAGAACGTCGGATATCGGATAGTGGTGGTCGGTCAGAGTATACATCATCGTCGTCAGCATATTCAGCTTCGAATCGGCCTACTTCTGCTGTAGCTTCAGTAACAAATACTAATTCTGCTATACAGAATGATATTGATGTCAAGGGAATTATACAAAGGGTAAATACTCTTCTCTGTTATTCTATGTGTCATATATTATAGAATACTGTATAAATAATTAGATGTTTTTGTGTCTTTAGTTCCTTTGTGTCCTGAGTGGAACATATGGCTCTAAGCTTAAACCATTGACGTTTTAGTAGAGGGGTGAGGTCGCTAGCCTCATGCCCAACCTTTCCTCTTTACTGTGCTTTACTACTAGCGTCTAAGCAACCGAGGTTTAGAAGTACGTTCGTCAGTTGAGGAACGAACCATGGACGACTGCATGTGGAGCATAATTGTGGAGTATTCTATCATTGATGCTGTAATTAATCAAATTCCTACAAACCAACACTTGAATATGAATGAGATGCTCACTAGCGACTTGCCCTATTCAGGTAGGTAATTATCTCAGGTTCTAGTGAGAAGTCGTGACCAGTAGGGTGCAGCAGGTCGGATGTGAGGACAAATACTCCCCACCGATGACATTGGCTAGTGGGTGCGCTATATTGGTGAATTGGCAGAAGTTAGAATTCATGGGCTGGCTGGCCATTGGATCGGATCTCACTGAGTGGTCTACTTAATGGTCTACTAGCTCGCTTGCCTTGTAACCAGAATGTCCTGGGTCCGAACCCCGCGGTGTGGATACGTACTGATGAAAAGTCCCATACTAGGATGAAACAGCAGTCCAGTACTCTCTGTGACTGGTTTTCCAATGGTTCTCTAACTGATCTCAACTCATGAGGAAATCCTGTAACCAGTCAACCAAATCCCTACTCTGACAGGCAGTGAACCAACCGATGACCTATTAGCCAACAAATATACACAAAGGAATTGAGGCGAATTTAACATTATAATGCAGTCAAACTGTCGTTGAGTCATATCATGCACCAACCAGGTTGACGGCTGTGTGAAATCCGAATAGGGTACAGCGAATTGAACGTTGCCTTTTGTGGCTGGTGGTCACATGTTGGAAATCTTGAGAGCAGGAGATATAAGCTTATGGTGGCCGACAATCTTTGAATCCATTAAAGGGGGCAATAGCAGAGAACAGGATGCGATGGAAATGCTTTGTCGATGACCTGTGTCCTACTTGGAACCTTAGACCCCCGGTTAATAATATTTGAATAAAGTCACCCTACAACAAATTTGTTTTTGGATTCAGGAATATAAACTAGTTTGTCTCAAGGCGTAGTAATTATTTTTCTATAGTTTGGTTTGTAAGGGTTAGTTTTATTTTTTACGAGTTGATCACAAATTGATATCAGCTAAAGAACCGTTGAAAGCCAACTAGAGAGTACTGGACAGCTGTTTCGTCAGCCTAGTTTGGGAATCATCGGCTGCACGCACCCACCCGCCGCCAGGCGGTTCGAATCCAGGACCTTCCGGTTACAAGCCAAGCTACCTCTCGTAAACCATTCAGCGACTGAGACCCGATTCAATGGCCAGCCAGCTCATAAATTCTAACTTCTACCAATTCATGATTTAGCGCGACCTCAACCATTGTCGTAGGCGGGACATCCATCCTCATACGTGACATCTGGTAAATTTGGTAAATGATTCGACTGGGAAATTGCACAAACTTTAGACAAAAAAGCACCAAGAATTCTAGAGAATTCTCAGTAGCCTGGTGGTACCTAGAGGCATTTTCGATCAGCATACATGTCAATATCGATCAGATTCATCAATCAGTAAAAATAAGGTCAGATACTATTTATCAACAAAATTGTCAGTATATAATTACAAGCGAACATGATAAGAAAGTCTCTGAAGAGGCAGACAGTCTGTTGTGTTCACAGGGAGTCGTAGATTAGCTCACTTCAAGTTATTGGTTTGCAGAGATTTGATCGGTTTTTTTTTAAGATTGATCATGATCTGATTTTTAGTTAAAGAAAACGACTAAAAACCATCAGAGACTACTGAACAGCTGTTTCGTCCACATCCTGGACTCTTCTCCTGAAGGTCTAGGGTACGATCCCTGACTGGGTAGAGGGGAGGGAGGTCATGGGTGCTAACTACTCTCTACTCTAGTATTGCGTGGCTTTCAATAGTTCTCTAAATGATCAGTTTTGGAAATTTTATAGTTTAGAATCATCCAGCTGAGAAAGTGTGCAACAATACTGTTGGTTTTATTGATTTTTTCATTCATTCATTCTTTCTCCTACCAAATTAGCCCACCAGTCGATTCCTGTATCATCAAATGCAATCATCAACTAATCCAAGTGGTGTTGGTGGTGGTCATTCATCTTCTCCTACTTACTCCTGGAATCCGTCGTCACAAAATCCTACTTGTATGAATAATAATAATAATAATAACAGCAGCAGTACTACTAGTACAGCTAGTGCTCGATCTACGGGTCTTAACAACAACAATAATAATCATAATGATTATTATTCATCCAGCACAACGAATTCCATGTATAATACGCCTCGTGATTCTAGCCAGCTATGGCAAGATGTAAGTTTTTTTTTTAAATGTATAATTTTAACACTTTCAACATTTTTGATGTATTCATTATTTCTTTTATATATATATATTTATCTTAACGTTCTCAATGAAACATGTGATTTCAAGCTAGAACTTTGAAGTTTCATTATTAGCAGTGGTGTTTATATTTACGGGATGTGGGGTGGTGCTAGTATCCCTCTCTTTAACTGATCGTTTTACTGGCTCAGAGAGGTTTGTTAGGAGACTGCGTCAGTCAGTGGTCGCGCTAAGAGCCCAGGAACAACATACATGTGGTTTTGTTTCCTTTCGACATAGAACTTTGTACCGCACCGATGTGCAACAGTTCAAATCGCCACTCTCCCTCGATGTAGCATACAAATCAAGAGAAGAAAGTAAAAGAAATGCAAAATAGAGACAGTAGACAGGGATATGAGACAAAAAAGGAATAGTAATATCGAAGAGCAATAGAGTTTCTTTGGAAATCATAAGTCACAAGGAGTGGATGCATCTGCACCAGCCAGCCAGCCATTGAGAACGATGAGTTTGAGCCATATCACCAATTGTCTCCAGCCATTGGTTTTTACGTTTCCGAGGATCCCAACTAATCAGGAAGTCGTCTACACCTCCCTATGTGTCTCGCTTAAACTAACTGTTGTGGATTTGATTGACTGATGAAACCATGTTTTGGTTTGACCACCACTGGCTAGCTCTTTTCCAACCTGATCCTATGTTGGCAGTTAACATTGCTCATTGTTGAGGAAGGCGATGACTAAGCGGGCATACGTAACACATGTCACAACTATCTCAGTCGATGCAGCTTCACAGCCTCGTCGACTGATTTCCCTTCCCATCTACCTAGCACTCGATCGATCTCTAACGTCAATATTGCTCACCGTAATATACCACTTCACACGGGAGATAGAACGCAGGCACCTCTAATCAAAGACAGCTAGACGAATTTTTCATGTCTTCTACTCTCAATGGCCAGGTCTCACTTACACCTATAAAGGAGGGTGGGGGCGAATTGCTGAGCAGTATGCATGCCCTATGGTCGATAGCCGGATATCATACGTCTGTCTGTTTTCGACATAGAACTTTGCACAAATGTGCGGAAGTTCAAGTCGCCACACTCCGTGTACCACGCGAAGCAAGAGCAGAATGTACAAGAAAAGCATAATAGAAACAGTAAGCAGAGATGTGAGACAAAGGAGTAATAAAGAAAAACATAAACAGTTTCATTGGAGATCATAAGTCACAAGGAGTGGATGCATCTGCACTAGCCACTGAGAACGATTTTGAGCCATGTCACCAATTGTTTCCAACCATAGATTTTTACCGTCCCGAGGACCCCAACCAGCCAAGAAGGATACACCTTCCTACGTGGCTTAGACCAACTGTTGTGGATTTCATTATCTGGTGAAGCCAAGTTCTTGTTTGACCTCCGCTAGCTTTTTTCCAGCCTGACCCTATATCCGCTAATATTGCTCGTCGAGGGAGGCGATGACTGGCTAGGCATACGTAACACATGTCCTAACCATCTCAGTCTTTGTAGCTTCACGACTTCGTCGATTGATTTCCCCTGTTTACCTAGAACTCTACGCCTAACCTCCGTGTTGCTCACCTTATTATGCCACTTTACACGTGGTTGGTCAGCGTTCTACCGCCGAACTATTATTAAGTACACTGTGAAGACTATTTCTAGGTAGATATAATCAAGAATCAATAGGGAAAAAAGGTGGACAATAGCTGGTGGTCATTTCGTCTTGGTCTGGGATTTTTCAGAAATGTGAAATCAAAACCCTGAGAAAAAAAAAATCAGTTTTCACGGTTAAGACACACGCTACTACCATATGACTAGGGAAAATGGACTCTCAAAAGCCGTTATTTTTTAAACTTTTGTATTATTATTATTATTACTGCCTCTCCCTTGGGTTCCGAGTGACGGCGGAACATAGGGTTTCCACAACACATATCCACTTTTTTCTGCTGTCCTTTTTAGTCAGGCCCCATGATTACTCATCATCTCTCATCTTCTCCTCCTCACCTGAGTTTCTCCATGGCGGTTGTCCCACTTTTTGTTTCCTTTTGGATTCTACTCGGTCTTCTTAGTGTGTGTCCTATCCATCTCTATTTTCTCTCTTACATATTTGTTGAGCAATAGGCTCTCGCTTGTTGGTCTCTTGTTACTAATGCTTTCTGATCATTTGGTCTTTAATATATAGAGTCAGTGAAGAGAGCAGTTGTTGATAAAAGTCTGGAGTTGGTTGTTGGAGAGGCTTTTCATGTTGCGTTTGTCAAGTTTCTGGTGCATGTAGAAGCATTGACTGACTGACTTAACATTTGTGTTGAAAATCTGAATCTTGCTCTTTTAATGCTGCAGTGTTCAGAAGATATCGAAATTGATTTCTAATTCAGGTTTGAAGATCTTCATCCTTTCCGCTTGTAGTTGAAATGATGCTTCCTAAATACGTCGTGACCTATTTCCAATTTCTTCCATTGTTAGTGATTGTCGTTGGTTGGTTGGTTGGTTGGTTGATATGTTATCTTCATCGCCTCCGTCTTCTTCATGATCACCTGAATTCCTGTCTTTGCTGCTTTTTCGATGGGTGTGTTGGTCATCTTCATCATTATTTCCTTTAATTCCTAAAGGAACATAGGACTTCAGCCGCCCAAGTCTCCATTGCGTTCGGTTCTCTGCCAAAGTTTTCACCTGGCCACATGCTTTCATCTCCTCTTCACATATGACCTCCTCCAAGTCACCCTTGCACCGACGACCAACTCGGCGCTTCCCTTCCGGGTTCCACTCAAAGGTTTGTCTAGTGATATCACTTGATGATTTCCTCAGAGTATGGCCAATCCACCTACCTTCATTTCTTCCTGCTTATTTGTTGTACAATCGGTTCCTGGTTGGTTTGCTCCCAGAGATCCCTGTTGCTGATCTTTTCTGGCTGGCCATCTGATCTTGAGTAGCATTGAGTGAAGACAGCTGTTGGATGAAGGTGTTTAGTTTGTTTGAAACGCCATTTATGACGCGCCAAGTCTCTGATCCGTATAGTAAGTAGCACTGACTGACTTTACATTGGAGTTGAAAATCCGGATGTTATTATCATTTTCATGGTGAGTTCTGAGTTCTGTTGACCTCCACACAGGCTTGAGAGTGGTGAAAGCTTGCCTTGCTTTCCTGATCCTCCTTTTGATATCCTCATCAGTTCTATCCACCTGTGGTTGAAACGATGCTTCCCACGTGGTTAGGTAGGTAGGTGTATGAGGTTGCTTCTTTCAGATTTCTCCCATTTATGCTGGCTGATTGTTGTCTGTTGTTGTTGCTGTCATTGTTGCCTAGGAATCTTCATTACCTCTTTTATCTCTATGTTCACGTGAAGTCCTATCTCCTCTGGATGCGTCTTCTGCCATCTTCTTACTTTTCATCACTTGCATATCTTCCAGTTTGTGGGAAATCAGACATATATATATCATCGGCAAAATCCAGATCCTCCAAGTTCTTTTTTGTGTGAGTCCCTTTCATGCATGTTTCCTCACTGCCCGTTGTCTGTCGTACTATCCAATCTACTGCAATCAGGAAAATCCTTGTACATAGTAGGCAGCCTTACCCTACTCCCGTCGTCATTTCGAAGGATTCCGTAAGTTGCCCGTTGTGGATCACATGGCATACAGCATTGTTGTACAACTGTTGGATGAGATGTATAAATGTCGATGGCACCTCGTAGTAGCGAAGTAGTTGCCAAATCGCCTCTAGATCAACGCTGCCTGTTGAAGGCTTTTTCAAAGTCGATGAAGTTGAGATAGAGAGGTGACTACCATTTCAAGCTTTGTTCAATGATGATCCGTACTATGGCGATTTGATCAATGCATGACTTGTTTCTCCTGAATCCAGCTTGTTCCGGTCGGAGTTTTTCATCCAGGTTGGCTTGTTTGATTCTCTCCAGGATGATGCGGCCTAGTATCTTGCTTGGAATGGACAGAAGCATAATTCCACGCCAGTTTTTACATTGACTTAAGTCTCCTTTCTCTGGCAGTTTGAATAAATAGCTATTCTTCCAATCCTCGGGTACGTTGCCCTCTTTCTACACCTTCTACAGTAATGGTGTCATCAGGTCCGTTGATGTCTCTGGGTCCATTTTCAATGCTTCTACTGAGATTCCATCTGGTCCTGGTGCTTTTCCAGCTTTTTTAGAATCTTGATTGCCTTCAGGATTTCTGTTCTCATCGGAGGGTTGATATCCACTAGTGTTGGTAGTTCTGCTTCCATTGTTTGGTATTGTTGAGCGCGTTGTAAGTGGCGATCGATTTTGGAGTCTTCTGAAGTGTTCAGTCCAGTGTTTCCTTTGCTCCTCTTTACTCTCTTTGGTACTCGCCTGTAATTCGCATTTCCTTTACTTTTGCAATACAAAATCTGTATACATCTAAATGTATTTCTGCCTTTCTTTGTCTATGTATATGTATAAGGGCAATACACTTTCTAATTATATGTGAGTGAGACTATATATATGTAATATATAAGTGTGATATCTGTGTAACAACAGAAGACAAGGGCCAGGCAACAGATCGTTTTATTATGAAAATCAACACGTATTTATACATATTTCACATACATTATTATAGCTTATGCAAGTAGACAAACGCAGGCTTCGGATTGGTTGTTTCGGGATTCCTCGACAAATAGAGTTCTCTATCTGCGAATCATATTTTGCCACGTTAACTCTGCTGTGATTGGTTGTTAAATCAGCCTTGCTCATATTTTCTCACGGCCTGCTCTCACCACATCTGTCGTAGTCACAAATTGACAAATATTACGTATATTCTATTACTTATTCCTATTGATTCTATTAAACTGATTATTTGTACTTGTGTATCTATCTACCTACCTACCTATCTACCACCTACAAACCTACCTCTTTATTTCTCCATACATTAACAGTTACCAGTGGTAACAGCGCTACTACTCACTGTTCACGCGTGTATTTATGTCTCTTATCCCTTGTCAATATGTGTATTTTGTGTTTTTGTAGCTTTTCTAATCAATATTTGTGCGAGAAAATAGAGATATTACTCTTTTTTTTTCACACTATGACACGTTGTGAGTATTATATGTCACTTGCAGGGTAGAATTTACCGACTTTCCTAAAAGCTTATAGTTTTGAATTCTCTGCATTTAAGTACACTACCATCTGTTTCAGGGTTTCCGTTCAATTCAGTCGTAGAAGAGAGTGCTCGTCAACTGAGCATGTCTTGTGTGGGTAGTGGGGGGTGGGGTGGCGGTGGAGGTTCGATTTTTCTTCAGACTCACTCCCTAGACTTCGATTAGCCCGGTGAAAAAAGGGAGCAGTTGGGTGTGTAGGGCGAGCAAATACACCTCAGTAAAACAATGAAACCCCCAACCGTCTAGTGAGACTTCAAAAAAAACCCTGAAGCTTTGAAGCCTCATATGTTCCACTTGGAACAACACAAGGGAATGCGGAAAGTTTTTTTTGTAGTCTGTTCGCGGTTTCCCAGTCTTCTTCTTCTTCTTCAGACGTGCAATCTGTGTTGACCGTAATATTGGATTTTTATTTATTATTATTATTGTTTTGCTTTCTGACTGAGGATATACGGCTTCAGAAGCAAGCGGTACATCTCTTTATCACCCTGTTTTCTGCAGTATTTTCCAGCTGGCTTGTACGATCGCTCATTAGCTGTTATCTCGTTCCGCTTACACGTAAAGCTACACTTCATCCTCGAAAGGAGCGCCTGAAATCCTTATTTCTTATTTGGGTTTCAGTCGATTGATGGCCAGGTGCACATGATTTCACTTAAGAAACATAGGTTGTTGGTTGGTTGGTTGGTTTTCTGCCTGTTAGAGTTCTTTATGGTTTGCGTTTTCCTATTCTGGTCGGTCGTCAGACGTTCAGTATCGAGGGAAGGCTACGGGTCGCGCTATCTCGTGAATTGGCAGAAGTTAGAATTCATGGACTGGCAATTTGATTGGATCCCAGTGGCTTAATGGTATACGATCTAGCTCGCCTTCTAACCAGCAGGTGCTGGGTTCGAATCCCGTGGCGTGGGTGCGTACTGCTGCAGAGTCCCAAACTAGGACGAAATATGTGTCCAGTACTCCCCACAGGTTTTCCAATGGTTCTGTAACCAATGTCAGCTCATGATGAAATCCTGTAACCAGTCTGATATGTAGTCACATGATGTGTGTGTGTTTTGCAATTGATAGTGTTCTCTGAGCGCCTCGGTTTAATTGCGGAGGAAACGTTAGGCGTATGGGGTTAGCAATTCCATTCTGTAAAAATATCACATCTACTGGAACTTTAAAGTTTGAAACCCGATATTCTACTGGTAACTCAAGGAATGAATAAAAGAGTTAGTGTCATGCGGGAGGTTCTGTTGCGTCTACACCAGAGACGGCGTAAACTGGCATATGCGAAACGAGCGTTCTCTAACCGTCCTAAGATTTCGTCATCGATCAACCCGTTGGCATTGGCTGATGCAACTTCTCGAATAAGTGACGTACTCAACGTGCTCTACCACTTCACTCCCTATTTCTAAGCTAGGAGTCAATGTAGTCCAGGCTAGTCCTGTAGTATCATCTTACATTTTACAGAAGGAGCGAATCGCATGCCGAACATTCGCAGATTTTAGCTCTAGGAGTTCAGAAGACTCTGCATTTTCTGAACCTTTTCACGTGTAAGGACTATATCATCTGCATATTCCGAGAAGTCAACAAGATTAATCCCTGCTGATAATAAGTGAATCCCTGAGTTGCTGAAGTCAGTTTGGGTTAATTGCATTAGTGTATTTATGAGGAAATTGAATAGAAATCGGGATAGTGGACATCCCTGACGGACTGCACAGGTTGTCACCACTTCAGATGACTACTCGATGTAGGCTCCCACCTGGCTGACTGCATGAGTTCGATTAGAGTGCCTTGATTTGTTCAGTGATTTTTCTCGGCATTCCCTTTACAGCGAAGCATCGCTAGAGTACCTGTCAGTCGACAGAATCGAATGACACCTTTAGATCAAGAAATATAACGATTGTTGGCCGCTGACAGTAAGTAAGTATGCCTATGTTCCTGAATATCTGTCGAAGGGTGAATATATGATCAATACACCCTCTCTTCCTGGTGTAAAACCTGCCTGGCTCTCTCATGTTTGTGTCTCGCGAGCACCACTTAGATATATATACCCTCTACCCCTCGAAGTCGACATCATAACTACTGAAACTTTGAGGTAGGTTTGAAGCTTTATGTTGTACGCGGAAGTCGTGGTATAAAGAAAACATGGCATGAATTGGCATTTTCTTCCATAGTTGATTGAACCTAACATCTTATCTGTGTACTGGAAGCTGTGATTTATGTTGGTTCAACCCAATAAAGCACTAAACTGGTAAAAAAACAAGTCACCATTGCCACAACTCAAATATTGATTTTGTGTATTTTTGACAATCATTCAATGTGTGACATATACATCTTTGCAGTTTTCATTTGAGCACTGGTTAAGTAATTTTCCCTCTTGTTTTCTCACTCTCCCATCGTGTTGCATCATCGTCATCACGCCTTATGCTGATGACCTCTACTTCGATTTTGTTCAACTGTCGTAACAACAACAACAACAACAACACCAATACAGTCTAAAGATTATAAACGTTTATATGAAAAAGAGAAAGAGGAACGTGATAAACTCCAACGTGAGCTGGATCGATGTCAACGTCAGATAAATCAGCTGCGCAATGAATTACATCATTCACATTCACAGTCTTCTGCATCACTATTGCGTAATTCATCAAATGATTATGGTTATACAAATTCAGAGACAAATAATTACAGTAATAATAATAATAATAATAATTCACAAGCACCAGAAACTGTAAGTTTTCATAACTTTTATCTATTATTATACTTATTATTATTATGTCAAGGGGTATGTCGGTGGCTTAGTGGTAAGAATGCTCGCTAAACCACACCACAAGGTGTCCAGAGTTTGATTCCCGGGCAACACACTTCTGAAACTTGCCTAGCCCAGTAGTAAGCTCGGCAAAAATGGAAGGTTGACCGTTAAAAGTATAAACACCAATGGCTACTGAGACGTGAAAGCCAAAGTTCCACTTGAAATTCAAAGGAAGAATAGTGTTTCATCACAACTCCATAGTAGTTAGAGAATCTTAGAAAGTTGGAGAGTACTAGAGAACTCTTTACCAGGTATTGAAACTAATAAGGCGAGCACATGTTACCCCACTAACTTAGCCATTGGGTTTGAATCCAGTGGATCATGGATTCCTAACCAACGTGTGATGTCTTCGGATCACAGTCTTAATATTCAAGTATTGGTTTTGCAGGGATTTTGTTTGATTGCATGGAGGATTTCGTCAGTAGGGTACAGCAGCTGGTTGAAGATGAGGCAGTAACTCATCGAAGCAGAAGACATTGCGAAATGGTCGCACTATGTCGTGCGTGAATTGCCAGATGTTAGAATTAAAGGACCACTGGATCGGGTCCCAGTAACTCAATGGTCTACGAGGTGGTTACCTTGTAACCAGAAGTTCCTGAATTCGAACCCTGCATTGTGAGCGCGTGCTCTCGAAGAGTCCCAGGCTAGGACGAAACAACTGTCCAGTACTCCCAGGTTTTCCGGTGGTTGTTTTCTAACTGATATCAACTCGTGATAAAATCCTCCACACAGTCTTAATTGTCAGTCAGTCAGTCATTTAAAACCTACTCTGTGACTTTACATTATCATTTCTTTCTCAACGGTTAATAGAAATTATGGGGATTCTTTTGCGGTACTGACTTCATATGTTGTTAACTGCTCACTAGGAGAGTATTCCTTGTCATATACAGTCTTGTTCTGATTTAGTACTAATCGATTTTTCTCAGTCAAGTTTACAATTCGGTGTGTAAATTAACTGGAAAAATCGTCGAAATCTTGCTGTTGTTATCCCCCCCCCTCCTCGAGGAATTGAAGTTGTAAGAATAAGACGTATTTTGGAATTGTTGGTACTTTGGCCTGTTTTATTTTTTTAAATTCATATTCTTAGTGATGAATTTTCCGGGGTAAACGTTCTCATTCAGCAACTGTTTAATACTCTAAAGTTTGGTTTGTAAGGGTTAGTTATGCTTCGTACGAGTTGATCACGGATTGATATCAGTTGGAGAACCATTGACAACCAAGGAGTACTGGACAGCTATTTCATCCTAGTTTGGGAATCATCGGCATTACGCCCACCCACCCCACAGAGGGTTCGAACCCCAGGACATTCCGGTTAAAAGGCAAACTAGCTCGTAGACCATTCATCAGCCACTGAAGAACCGATTCAATGGACAGCCACAGCTCATGAATTCTAACTTCCACCAATCCATGATTCAGCCCGACTATCGACCCATTTCGTCGGTGGGACATCCATCCTCACACCTGACATCTGGATAGATCTCACTGGTCACGACTACTTACTAGAACTGCTCCAGGAAACTCCATCCTGTAGGAAGTCACTAGCGAGCGAGCATCAGATTAATTTTCTATAGTTTGGTTTTTTTAAGGGTCGCGCTTAATCATGAATCGGTAGAAGTTGGAATTCATGGACTGGCTGGCCATTGAATTGGGTCTCAGTGGCTGAATGGTATACTAGCCAGCTTGCCTTCTAACCAGAAGGTCCTGGGTTTCAACCCTGGCGGGGGGTGGCTGCGTACAGCCGATGATTCCCAAACTAGGATGAAACAAGCTGGCTGTCCAGTACTCCTTGTGGCTCCAGTGGTTCCAGTGGTTCTCTAACTGATGATATCAATCCGTGAGCAACTCGTAAAAAAATTGACTATCGATCTAAAAGTCTAATTCTTCTTCAAGTTTTCTTCAATAATGTCTTGTGCAGAAATTCTAGTACATTTTAATTCTAGTACAATAGGCAGAATTGATAGATTAGTATTACAGTAAAAGGTTGGTGTGTGTACGCCTCTGCTTATTCATGTGATGCTGAGAGATTATTATTGTCTATCACAGAGATTTTTAGATTGACAGATTATTGCTACTTCTGATATTGTGCAATATAGGGGTAGGTAGTGATATGATTGATGGCCACATATATTTCGCTCACCAGCAGCAGTAGTGTCTCTTAGAGTGTTAATCTTAAATCATCACACTGACATCTACTGGTCGGTCGTCACATGAGTTTCAGCGTAGAACAACACACACACACAACAAGTGCAGAATGTGAAGAGAAAATGGTCAGTTTTGACATTGTCAGTTTTTATATACAGGCATATCAATAGTAGATATGGCTATAGAGGTAGGCAGTCAGAAACGAACTCATATCTGACCAAGAACTCGAATTCGAACGGACAAAGGTGCCACTTGAGGACATAATGCTGGGAGTGCGGCAGTGCAGTGGCTGACTTCCATAGTATTTAAATTCTAAGGGAAAATATACAAACAAACTGAGGGGGAGTTCCCATGGAATCACCAATATCCCCGGTTGTAGCAGATATATTCATGGATAGGTGGGAAAACATAGCGATTGAAACTTTCACCCCCACCCCACATCGAAGTGTAGTGGGGAGGTATGTAGATGACACATTCACTGTACTTAAAACACAAAATATAGATAGATTTTTCGAACAGATCAACTCGAAGATAGAGGCAATTCAATTCACTTATGAATTAGAAAGTCAGTAACTGGGGAGCTTCCAATGTTAGATTGCAACGTAAAAAGGAAAGAAGATGGGAAGTTAAACACACCAGTGTGTTTACAGAAAACCCACTTGCACATTCAAACGGATACTTGGACTTCCGATTATCCCACCCAATCTATGTCAGTAAAAATAGGATTGGTAAAATGTTTAAGTGACAGAGGACAAAAACTAAGTAGTACCAAGGAAAATCTAAGACAGGAAGTGATACACATAAAAGAAGCCTTTAAACTTAATAATTATACGGACAAATTAGTCAGGAAATATGTAAGTAAATGTAAAAATAAAATAAATAATGATAATAGCGATAGTGATAATAATAATAATAATGATAACACTAATAATATTAATAATAATAGTGATAATAATAATATTAATGACGTCGCCAACAATAAAGAATCTAAATCATCAGCAGTAATTCCATGCAAGGAAGGAACTTCGGAAAACACCTTACGCGGAATTCTTAGCAAGGGAGGAATAAAAGTGGCTGCTGGCATTCAAACCACCCACAAACTCAATTAGAAACAAGCTTTGTAGGTTAAAAGATCTTACCAGTGGAGCCTTTAAAACAAAACAATTTAGTTTATCTAATACCCTGCCTGCAATGATTGTCGGGTCAAATACATAGGTCAAACTAGTAGAACAGGGCCAGTCAGACTAGCTGAACATAGAAACCTATGAGAGTCGGTGGCACAGTGGTTAGGACTCTCGCCGACCATGCACATGATCCGGGGTTCGAGCCCGCTCCGACGCACATCTGATATCTATGGTCGGCCTGCGAAATTTGGGCTACCGATATCCATGCTGAAAATTCCATACTTGTACCGAAAATACAGTGTGGAATCAAGCTGTAAATCAAAAAAAAAATCAAAAAAAAATCTAGATTGGTTGACCCGAATAAGATAAGAAATCTAGAGGATAGTTCAGCTATAGCAGCATTACATGCAGTTACACACAACCATCCATAAAATAGGATGGGATTGGATAGGATGGCAGTTTTAAAATTCAAATGTCCCAGGGAGGAGGGAGAGATTGATAACAGAAGCTTTGTTTATCGAATAAACTGCAAACTAACACGTGTAATAGGAATGATTCATCACCTGTCCATGCGGATATCTGGAAAATTCTGTTAACCCTACGACAAATAAGAGCGAACAAAGAAAACTATAAAACTCAAGTTTCAAAGTTGTGTGATTACAATTGATGAAATGATTATGAACAGTAATAAATTGTGTTCGAAACTGTGTCATCCAGTAAATAATAATACTGTTACACTCACTGACTGTGATACATGTAATAAACTAACTAATATGGAATTACTTACTACCACCACAGTGCCCAAGTTTCACACACATATTAACAATTCAACTTGTCACGCTTCATGTAGACTGAAAAGAGAAAAAGAAATAGGAGATTCTAAGGAACGGCAATAAGCAGAAATGTGAAGGAGAGGAAGAAGAAAGCATGATAGCACGGAAGACATGAAGATCTACTGGATATAGATGGTTATAAAGAGTGAATGCCTTTGCTCTATTGGTTCTTAGCATCCTGAAGTTCCTAGCCAGGTAGTTAGTTAGTTAGTTTACACCTTCCTACTTGTCTGGCTGGCGGGCTAGCTGAGGCTTAAACTAATTGACACAAATACTTCATAGATTGATGATATATTTTGGGTTTGACTACCAATAAATTCTATTCCAGCGAACATCTAATACTGTAACTACAAAAGACAAGGCCAGTCAGGCAACACAGATCGTTTATATTGAGAAAAATCAAAAGATATTTTTTTTTATAGATTTTCATGTACATTATTGTCAACGGACGGAGAAGCAGCGTCTTCTGATTAGTTATTTTCTTCTTCCTGAAGGTTATTTTCTACTGTACTTGTGACTGTTTCTTAGAAAGTTAAGCCATATTTCTGCGAATTGTATTTGCACAAGTTAATTAAGTCTTTTGTGATGATTGATTGTTGATTTCCTCAAGGTGTTTAGCTTTTTTACTGTTTCTTTGTTTTCCTCATGACCCTGATTCGGGAAGGAAACATTGACACGTAAATTGCTGTCTACAATTTTAGTTTGTAGACAGCATTCTCACCACAATACTAGTCGTCGAATAACCACAGATGAATTCACTGATTTCATATTTTTATAAATATATAAGAGGATTTTCTTCATATGATGTGTCTTTACATTC